ATTGTGAAGGGTATTGCTTTTCTTAGCTCCAGCTCTGTATTCTCTCTGTCACTGTAGAGAAATCCAACTGATTTTTGTGTGTTGATCTTCTATCCTGCTACTTTGCTGAATTGGTCAACTACGTCCAATAGTTTTCTTGCTGAGTCTTTAGGGTTTTCTAAGTATACTATCATGTCAGAAAGCTACTTTTTAAAAGATGCAAAACCACGTCCTGCATTTGCTCTTCAGGTGCCTGGAGCTTAGGGAATGGTGGCCCCAGACCCCTCCCTTGATCCAGCTTCCCTTCCTGCCCTGACTCCATTGTCCTTGTTAGGTGCTGTCGATTCGTGTACAAGTCATAGCAACCCTCTGAACAACAGATCTGAACCTTGTCATATCCCGTGCCATCATCACAATCCCGGACACATTTAAGACCATTGCTATAGTCACTGTATCAGTCCACCTCGTTGGGGGCCTTCCTCTCTTTTTCTGACACTTCACTTTTCCCAAGCATAATGTCCTTCTCCAAGGAACAGCCTCTCCTAGCAACATGCTCAAACTATGTGAGGCAAAGCTTCATCATCTTTGCCTTCAAGGAGCACTCTGGCTGTATTTTCTCTAAGACACATCTGTTTGTTCTTTTAGCAGTCTATTAAGTACTCTTCTCCAACAACACAGTCAAAGACATCAATTCTTCTTCTGCCATTCTTATAAATTGTCCAGATGCACAGCAAGTGATTGAAAGGACCATGGTCTGAATCAGGCACACCTTAGTCCTCAAATGGACATCATATCTGCTTAACAGTTTGGTGGGGTCTCTGGCTGCAGACTTTCCCCATATGTTTATATGTCCCAATATAGTACAGTACATTTCCTGACTGCTGGTACAGAATGACTTTGGATCCCAGTAACATGAAGTTGTTCACAGCTTCAAGATGGTAGAGTGGCTGTGGGGAGGGATTGTATAATAATGAAAGAATTTTTCTTTTACTTTTCAAAGAGCTGACTGAATTAGGGGGGAGGGGATGGGCAGGGAGAAAAGTGCAACAATGAATGAATGGAAAACCATAAGTCTCTGTAAACTTTCTTTAAAATTAATTAAAATTTTTTAAAAAAAGATGGTCCAGTGGAAAGGATTTCTATTTTCTTGATGATATGCTCTAACTCTAGGCTGCTTCAGTGATCCTCAGAGTGGTTTTGATGTGAAAGTCTGGGGTGTTGTAGCCTCAGATTTGAGGCTCAGAGTCCCTGATCTGACTTAAGATGGTGGTTGCTGAGCCTAGAGATTGTAGTTTGGGAGTGAGGGAGTAGAGGGTGGCCACCTGCAGGTAGGTGACAAGGAAACATGGCCCCTAGTTCAGCCATCCCTATTCCCCTCCCAGATCCTACACCTTACCACAGGCCGGGAGAAGTGGTCCTCAGACAGGCCAAGATCCATCACGCACTCAGCACAGCGGAATTCTGGCTCTGGCAGGGACAGCTCCGGAGCGGCCTCTGTACGCAGTGAAGGGCAGCAGTAGTGAGAGAAGGAAAGGTCAGCAGCCCCTGCCCCTCCTTTCAAGGGGGAGGCTGGCCTGGGGAGCAGGAAGGCCTGGGTTCCTGCCTTCCCAACCACCTGTCCAGAAAGCCTTTTCAAAGGAACCTGAGGTTCTTGTACAGTTAGGAGCCTCTCCTACCCACTGCCTTCAATTTCACCTCATAGTGACCCTCCCCCAGACTTCTGAAGCTGCAAATCTTTACAGGAAGAGATTGCCTAGAGTTGTTGATGGCTTCACACTGACGATCATTCAGTTAGTAGGAGAGCATGTCACTCTATGCTGCCAGAGCACACTGTCATTAAGAAAGAGCTATTCAGGAGAGCTCTGGTGGCCTGGTGGCAGGAAGCTGCACTGCAGTCCCAGAGGTATGCAGTTCGAATCCACCAGATGCTCTGCTGGAGAAGGAGGGACAATCTCCTCCTGTATCAGTCAGATCCAATTTGACGGCACACACACACACACACACACACACACACATAAATAACATTTAAAAAAAAATTTAAAAAGAGGTGTTCAGAAGTCTCCACAGAACTGAACGATACCCTGAAAACAGGCTGACGGCAGCTTTGTGGAACTATCCCTGTGGACAGTGCATGATCATATATCAATTGTGGCATGGGATGAATGGTATGTCTCCAGAATACCTGCATGTGATCACATGCTGCAGAAGGTGTGGGACAATCTCCCACGATCTGACAAACAAAATTGTTGTAAATGGATTGGAGGTGGCATACGACATACTTGACCCCATCACATAACTGATTCAATGAAAAGGAATTTTCCTAGGGGCAGCCTGTTACATCTTTTGTCTCATAAGAAATAAAAGGTGAGAATATAGCAGCCATTAAATACCAACAAAAGATTTGTCAAGAACGGTGTTTGTTGTTGTTGTTATGTGCCGTCGAGTTGCTTGCGACTCATAACAACCCTATGAACAACAGCTCTAAACTCTGCTCTGTCCTGTGCCAATCTCATTGTCTCCAACACACTCATGCTGATTGCCCCAGTCACCGAATCAATCCACCTCCCAGAGGGCCTTCCCCTCCTGCACCTGCCCTCCACCCTCCCAAGCATGATGTCCTTCTCCAAGG